CCTCGTAAGGTGACAGTACGTGAGGTACGAAGCCTGTTCCGCAGTCGTATCCGCAACCTCCGCGCGCGTTGCCGTTCAACGACGAGGGTAATCGCACTCGCCCTCGCGAAAGCCGTTGTCCACTATACGTGCGCGCGCGCGCGCCCTCGCGTAACGTTTTCCGCGTCGTCTTCCTTCCCCCCGTTGTGCCCTGTCGTGGAGACCGGAGGAAGCAACCGGAGTACGAAGAGTGGCCCGCGAGGAGCCAGAGACAATCACAAGTGACACAAGTGCGCTAAGCCGGGAGTGCTTAATGACCGGAGGATTCTTTGCAGTTCTCATCTGTGATAACGTAACGAGCGCGGCCACCCGCGGCTGATACACGGGATTGTAATCCCTATCACGTGTTCACGTGTGCCGCGGCGAAAAGTTTCCTCGCGGGATAATCTCTCTTTCTCTCTCTCTCTCTCTCTCTCTTTCCGTGTCGCGCGCACGGATGCCGCCCGCCGCGACCTGATTACGCGCGCCGCGTGCCGTCCCCGTGCGTGCGTGCGTGCGTGCACGTCGCACACCACGAGGAGCGCGACGAAATTTACCCGATGAACGGTGGAATGGTTTGTGTCTGGTTGGACTACGACGACAAGTGATAATTAGCTCCAGCAGCTCCCGTTCCCGGCAAAGGATTTTTATCGACAGCTGGGGGGACCGACGACGACGAAGCAGGGGCAGCGATCAAGGTAATTATTCGCCCACGGATATTTTACTTGTATTCGACGAATAAATTTTGCGGTGCCTGTGTGCGTGTTGTGTGTGTATGTGTGTGTGCATGCGCATGTTTGTTTGTTGTGTACAGTTGGACGTGCGCGTGCGTACGTCGCACTCGACGCTTCTTCCTGTATAGTTCCGATTCCTCCTCGATTGTAAACAAATCCCCGCTGTCACCGCTACGTTTTGTGGAACGGCATTTCTCGCCTTCCGGAATCCGGAATTGATGTTTCACGAATCCGTTTCGGCGGAACTCGTTTCAGCAAGATTTAACAAAAATCACGCGATGGATGAAACTTGATAGAGCTCGATTTGAACTGTTTTAAAAACTGAATAAATTCTAACTCTAATTTCGCATTTTTAATTAATTACTTTTCATTTTTAATCTCCGGCTGTCTCGATACTTGCTGCGCCTGTAAATGACATTGGCTGCATTCGGCAAAAAAATCAACTTTTCACAACTGTGTTGTACGATTCTTTAATATAATTTAGTTCTTGCTTTTAATTCTATACTGCTCTTTTAAATTTATGTTGGTAAGGTTTTTATTCCTGTACTAGAACTTTTTCTCGCTTTTGATAAATATGAAACATACGTCTACTCCCCGCTTTAAGTTTCAAAAGCGTATGTTAGTTCAACTATAAAAATAGATTTGTATTGTCAATTTGAGTCAATTTAAATCATTTTTATAGATCGCCACTGTTCTCCTACAATGCGACGTTAATTTAACTAAAACAATGGAGTTAAATAAATTAAGTTAAGAAAATATATCAAATTTAATTGATTATTAATTAAATGCATGCGTCAATATGAATGTTGTTTACTTTGAATCCAACCACAGAATGTATTGATTTATATTTTGACACACATGGAAGTTAAAAATAACAAAATGTTATTTAACTCAAGGGACTGGGTTACCATTGTTCTTTTTGATATCTAACAGTGTAGCTTTAAACGCACAACGCAATCATATTAATGAATCTTACAACAATTGCAAAGTGGCATTTTTTTTCTGCTGAACGCAACCATTTTTGACACTCGCCAAATATTACACTTTAAACGCAAAATATCACGCCTAAAAATGCACCGGACGCAAAAACGCGTTTTTATAGCCATAGTTTTAAGCCAATTATGTTTTACGTGCTCTTAGCTACTCTTATTTTTTTTATTCGTACTCGCGGACGCTAAAGCGGAGTCAATGATTTTAAATCCAGTGTTATTAATAGCAAGAACCTATAATCGATAAAATTACTTCGTGAAAAAAAGATTTACATTCAGTTGTAATACCAACAATATTCAGCTTTGTATGTCGAAGTTTTTAATTTTACAAATTATTTTATTTCGTCTTTCCTAATTTGACAGTAATTCTTTCGAAAAAATATTATTTTAATTTTTCCCAATATTTGTCATCGTAATCCCGTGATTTATTCCTCGTGTCTCGCCGTGTCCGCTGGCGACCGTCGAGCTCTCATAAGCGAAAGGTCATAGCCACTCGACGGAGTCCGGTCCATTTTCGTTCTTCCTCGATTCTCCTCGTTGCCGCGCTCGAAAGACGCGGAGCGGAGCGAACGTTACCGTATCCGAGCACGAGGAGTTAATTCCGGTGCGGCGCGCCGCGACGCGCGGAACCCGGAAATCCGCTGAAAGCCCGGCCTCGCTTTTAATCCGCTCGGCGATGTTAATAACCGGTCGTGCGGAATTTAATTAACACTAGCTGCTGACGTCAACCTCATCTCGCGGATGCGCGGGACATCGCGGCGGATAAACAAGCGCCTTGTCTTCGAACGCGAACGGGTTTCGCGAATATACTCGACGTAATCATCAAATTTTGATGGATTCGATTACACTAGCTTTACACTTGCAATAAGAAATTATTTCGAATCGGACTGGGTGTTTTTTTATTGCTGATTTTTGAATACTGGAAACGATACCGCAAGCCAAAAAATTCCACTACGTCAGGTTTCCAAGATAATGTCTAAAAAATAGCTTTTTTAACAATATATTTGACATTTTTTTGTAAAGAAGGTTAACGTTATCTTGAAATTCTAACTAAAAGTTGTGTTAATGTATTGTCCCCCATAAAGAGCATTGCTTTTTATTTCAATATCTTTTTAGTCATATTATGAAGGATTTAAATACACAAGGTTTTTCTTCAAAATCGAACAATACATTTGTGACTTTTGATCAGAATTTCAACCTAACGTTCACTTTTTTTTTACAAAAAATATCAAATATCGCAAAAAAGCCTTTTTTAAAGCTCATTTATTTCAGAAACCTGACGTGCTAGAAATCTAACTTGTGGTATTTTTTTCAATATCTAAAGATATATAAGAAACATCTTGTCTGGTTCAAAGTAATTAAAAAAGACATTTTTATGTAAACTAATGTTATTATCGCTTTTGTCACCGCAAGAAACTAATCTTTCGATCGCAAAATTATATCACAAAATCTAACTTTTTTCAAATCCATATGGAAACAATAGACAAATAGCTCTAATAATATTAATAAAATAGGAGGACATGGTAATAATATAAGAGTTATATGTATATAATTTTACAGCAATTTTTTTATCTTATCACACGAAGGTGAACTCTAAAATGCTAATTATGAACTATTAGCATACCTTGGTGTAATTCTAAACGGCTTCCATTTGATGCTAACGTTTATAATTAAGCGTAATTACGTAAGGTATAATTATATTTAACATACTACGATAAATTAAGGCGTTTAGCCTACTTTTAAGATACCAAAGTATTTTGGTGACGTTACTTCCTAGTGCAATATTCTTCACGATTCATATATATATATTTTGTGTGTGTGTGTGTGTGTGTATAAATTTAAACGGTTCATGAATAGATATAAAGAGCTTCAAAAGATAGCTATGACAAAATTAGGCAGGCCTCATTTTCGCATTGTCATTTATTAGATATAAATAGATGTTACGATATCTTTCTCAGCTTGTTACGCAAGCGAGATTGTATAACGTTTACTTACTAGTTCCTGTGAAAATTAAAGTGTTCCGAGTACGCAAGTATATATACATCGTACGGAAATGAGCTGACACTCAAACATTCAATGTCTGATGAAACGGATCGAAATATATTCAAACGCGATATCCTATCGCTCGAAGTATACATCGTACGGAAATGAGCTGACATTCAAACATTCAATGTCTGATGAAACGGATCGAAATATATTCAAACGCGATATCCTATCGCTCGAAAAAATGTTGCCGCTTTCAATGGGCCCTTAAGCGATTTCTGGCGGAAGGAACAACGTCCTGTGCGACGTAAAGACGAAAGCACGTCACTTTTAGTGGCAGATCGATGGAATCTGTAAGACTGTGCCGCTACGGAAACGTTTACGTAAACCAGCCCGGTAGGAACCGCTCGTATTTCTTAATCGTTATTGAGGAAGTTGCGCGTTATCATTTACATAACGCGAGCGAGCGAGTTTGTGCGCGTAATACCCAACCTGCTCGAGGCTTTCGCAAGATTTCCGTGAGTCTTGTGCGGGCACCGCCATCGGGCGAAACCGGCTCTCTTTCTCTTTCTCTTTCTCAAGTTTTCTGCAGGATTCGTTCGCACGTGTCCGTAATGTAATAATGAACCAAAGACCGCATTGAGAAAAATGTCTGATTGGATCGATTGGAATTCTGGTTGATAATGGACATTTTCTGATTATATCTATTATAACACGGAGAAAAAATGTTTGGTTGAATTAACTGGAATTCTGGTAGACAAATTATTAAGTATAAATATTATAATTTAAAAGTCAGCTAAATTTCTGATTAAATCTACTAGAGTTCTAACCAGAATTTTAAGTCGTTCATTTTCCACCTCAAAATTCCAGTTAATTCAACTAAACATATTTCTCCGTACATATTCTAATTTACTGAGAGAAATTTTAATCATTCATTCTGTTGATATGTGACTAACAAAAACTTTCTTACTTTTTCATGAAAAAAAATTATATTCTAATCAAAATTTGATTAGCCTAACTAAATATTTATTAGAACAACACAATTTTTAAATGAAAAAGTAAGAAAGTTTTTGTCAATTACATTTCAACAAAATAAATAGTTATATATATCGAAATACTTCTCTCAGTGTTGAGATATATAAACCGATATAATTTTTATCGATATAATAAGAATCTTCTAGAGTTTATTCATTTTTGACTAGGTATTTTTCTTAGTGCGTATATTTTCGGCGAGCTTCTGACTAATCGCGAATAAATGTAACAATTCCATGTGCCCGTGGCATGCAAGTTTAAAATGACTTAATGCGTCAGAAGATAAAAGGAAAAGACGTTTTCCGCGTAAAAAGATAAGCGCGTTTGTTTACACATGACGATGACAAAATCGATTTGTGTTCTTGAAAATATCTCGCAATGCTTTTCTTTTGTGAAGTACGATTTTTTATGAAAAATATATATCGTTTGGATAAGAAAGTTTTTCAATTTATTTTTAAACAATATCTGAATTTATTATTTTTGTTGCGAAATTATATACATTAACGGCTTTCAATAAAATTCTTTTTGTAAAGGAGAAAAGAAATCAATTGTTAACGAAAATGTAATAATTTTAGTGATAAATTAAAAGTAAAAAAAAATCACGCGTCCTCCGTCCGTATCACCCTGTGATTACTCTGATCAGTCTTGCGATAAAAATAGATAACAATGAGGAAACTCGTCTGCGAAAATTTTAGTTTCTTCTGGGTAAATTAAGTAAGCGCGAGAAGCAGCCGCGCGTGACGATATCCTCACTGCGCCAGTCGCGAGCCGGAGCTGCTTTCCTCCTTTGTCCGGTAAATACGCGGATTGATTTCTGATTAATGCGGATCTTCGCGATACTTCCTCATTGCGAAACCGCGGACGGCGCGGCGGCCGGCACAACGCGCGCAATTAAATCTCCGCGAGAAGACTCCGCCGTGAAGATGTTTACAAACTCCCTAAGTAGATAGTAAAAGACAA